ATTCGGTGTGTCCAAGTTCTTGCTATTTGACTAAAGTATCATTTCTCTTACTCTCACACCCACTCGAATTCTTTCACATTCTAAATAACCAACGATCAGATTTAGCTGTGGCACAACCGACCAAAGACTTGATTATCAGTTTTATTATTACAGTTCTCACGCACATGTGTGGGTCGACAGTTTCTTCCCAGGTACATCCAACTCTCCCCACAAATGATGTACGACCCAACCTGAGCAAAATCAATATATGTATAGATATGTTTGCATCACATATAAAGAAAATAAGCAGAAAAGATTATTATTACTTTTTAGCTTTAATCTGATACTCAAATTTTAAGTTTTTAGTGTAATGAAGAAATGAAAAATAAAAATAATGAAAATAATGGTTCAATATCTGCTGTTTTTTACTTCCTCCCTTGTCACCAAAAAAAAAGGCGGAGATTTAGATATGAAAAAAAGGGTTGGAATACCAAAAAGACAATAGAGTTAGATTTTCCTATCAGATTTTCCTACAATGAACATCTAACCGTGAAAAAAAACGTTATACTAATAATAATAATAATAATAATAATAAAAGAAAAAGAAAAATAGGAAGAATAAGAAGAATAATTTAGATTTCTTTCTTTCTTTTACTAGGCTAATATATGCGCTTAATAAGCCAGGAAATAAGCACAGAAAACTATCTCTCTGTATATCTTTTTTGTATACATATATACATATAATTACACTCTGTATATTCCTATTGTAATAATATCTTTTGCCTTTAATCGGCAGTAAAGAGGTCTATGTTTTAACCAAGAATACCATTATACTTGTGTGTGCTTGTGTGTGCATATAGTAAATATATGAAAAAGAAGAAGAATGATAAAATCTTAATTACTCCTCAAGAAAAGATTTCCCTATTGATATATTTTAGTGTCAAAAAGACCCTTTTTTTTCTGTTTTGGCTTATATCTAAAGTTTTATGACAATCCGACACAATTGATATAAATATTTTTGGTAGATCTTGACTTGACTTGAATACAATAAGTCCCGTTATATTCTACTCTATATCACAACCTCAATTTAAGAGACTGAAAAAATTAATATACACATAGTATATATTATATATTGCTTTTTTGTTTTCTATCAAGTATAATGATATATTTAAGCTTGCTTATTACAAAGTAACAAATACCTAAAAAAAAACATCAGGTCTGGCAAAAAGGTAAATAAACCCTTGATAATGTTGAACAGAGCCAAGAATCACTGCTATTCTTGTATTTCAGACTAATAAACCTAAAAGAAAGAGAAAATAAGCAAAAAGTAAAAAATTGGAAGTACAAAAAAGTCAAAATAAGGTAAAATAGAGTAAAATAGAAAAAGAAAGAAAGAAATATTGTTCTCAATATGCAAAAAACAGCAGTAAAATAATAGTAATAATAATATACCCTTCACAATATATAGATATATAATAATAAAAAGTATTAATGCCTTTTTGATATATGTGTAATAGTTGGTTGTGGTGTTACACCATTTGCTTCAATTATATATAACAAATACAGATATACTACTATGATCAAATTAAACAGCTCACAAATATTGGGAAATACTTGGTAAAAATTAGCAGAACAATGAGTTTTTTCTGTAATGACCTCAATTGACCCTCCAAAAAGAAGAAGAAGGAGAAGGAATGTGTGTACATGTGTATATGTGTACTTGTGTGTGGGTGTCTACTATCATTTTGCTCTTTTCAATTGATCAAAATAATAATTATAGTATAATAATCAGTGATCAACTATCAATGATCCGACTGTGATTGATTGATTGATTGACTGATCATTAGATCATTAGATTATTTGAATTGATCCAAAATAATATAGTTTCACCCAACATTTGCTTTAATGGGCATATATACAAACACATAATATTATTAATATTAATATTAATATTTTCTTAAGCAATTATCACTAACAAATCACAGTGATTTTTTGCATTATTTATTCATTATTATTATTCAATAAAAAAAACACACTCTCACACACACATTTATAAAGATAAAATCAGTGACAACGATCACTATCAGATCCATGATTATTACTCTTATATATATATATATATATATTCAATGAGAAGTAATACATACATGGCACATGTTAACCATGACAAATTAAGCTTAGATCCTTCAACGTCTCTTTAAAGTCAAGTAAAGTCAATCAAAAAGAAAGAGAATGTTTGGTTGCTTTGACTTCAAAATACTAAATAATACCAGTAAGATTCTCTGATATTTTTCTGATCCGGTTTTATTCTTTACTTTGTTTTTGATCCGACAAAGTGTATATTGTTTTCGTTACAATATAAATATATACATTCTTACTATTAAATATTCATATATCCGTCTTACAAGGAAACCTATGAATCGTTACTTTTCTTTTTTTCCTTTGAAAATAAAGTTTCTTTCTTTCAAAAAATCTCTCTTTACTTGTAATTTAAAATATATACATAAAATATCCAAAAAAAAGTTTTCTATTATATTTTTTTTAAAAAGAAATTTTTTTTCTTTGGTTGCTCGGGTACGGAAACTTTAAAGTTACTCAACCACCTTAGTGTCACGTAACCTCTAAAAGCTTAAGGAAAGAATAGTTCTATGTAGAAAATATCATTAATGGAATTTGAAAATAATGGTAGTAGTAATAAAATATAAAGTAAAGAGAGAGAGAAAGAGAGAAAGGCAGAGAGAGTTCAATGAGCGTTCAAGGCGATCAATCAATTTGGAGTATTCTTGTTGAATCAAGAATTCGTTTTTTTTATTTTTTTTATTTTTTTGATTATCTCTGTGTTCACCATCAAGATCCCTGATACACGCGAGCGTATCTGTACGCACTACTTAACGTTACATTACTGCTTGCCTTTACAGATAGAGCTTATTAAACTACACTAAGTTGCCCTACCCTACACTAAATTAAACAAAACTAAACTAAACTGAATTACACCAAGCTAAGCTACATCAAGCTGTACCATACCAAACAGATTGTTATTTTGTCTTTAATAGGGCATAAAATAATAATAAGGAGTAATAGTAAGAAGTACAAAGTTCTAGGAGAAATACATAGATCAAGATCATACTAGCGAAAGATAATAGTAATAAAAATCATTCCACACCAACATCAGCATGTCCGAGAAGTTCAGTGTACCCTTACAAAAAATGATACACTCCGGAGTATTCAAATATATATCTATATACACATTGTTTTTTCTTTATATTTTATTTTTGATTTATTGCGAATCACTTTTTTTTTAGTATTTTACTAGGGATCGTTTCTCCACTCAACTTCACTTTATTCTATTATACTCTACTCCACTTTATTTATTTATTTGTTTGTTTCTTTTTGCTTCTTCGTTGTCATGGAAAAAGGTCAGTGCTTCTAAATCGGGTGGAAGATTAGACGTGGTTAAGATGTGTAACTTAAAATGAGCGAATTAAATATTTTTATTTATATATACATATATATAAAAAAGATCACATCTGTCGCCGCTGAATAGCCAACTCTGAGTAAACCTTGCTACAAATGGAAATATCCTTTTTTTATTTTATTATCTGAAAGAAAAATCATCTCCGACTTCCTTTTCTCCCTCTACTTCTCTCTCTTTCTGTCTTGTGCGGAAATTAAAATATACAAAAAAAGGAAAATGCTCTGAAGAATTTTTTTTGCCTCACTCATTTTCTCCACCTTATCAGATCAAAATTAGATCAAATAAATAAAAAAATCTTTGTACTTCTTGTACATGTTTGTTACCAGGATTTTTTTAAAAGTAATAATTGGGGACACAAAAAGAGTATTGAGTAGAATATATTCAGTATCCTTTGTCTATTCACAAACTACAGGCAAAGAATAATATTAATGGTAATAATGAAGTAGGATAAACAACTAACAAGAGAAACTAATGAAAAGAAAATTAATTAATTGGCCAATTGATTTAAATTAACTACAGTTCGAATATAAAATAAACAAGATCTTGAACTGAATATTATTAATAATAATAATAATAATAAAACTCTCCTCCACACATTTGACACAAGCATATATACATACATAGATATATAAATTTATATATATGTATATGTATATGTATATATAATTATAATACATTTAGAATTCTATATCTTCGTTTTGTCTTACTAGCGGGAACTGGAGAAGAAGAAAAGTATATATATATAATTTTGAAACGTTACCATGGTTTCCTTTTAAATGTATTTTTTATCCATTTAAAGAGAAACTTATCAGATCATCCGGAATTGAAAGATAATCATGTCAGATCGGCGATTGAAAGCGAATAAAAAGAAAAAAAAAAGCTGACACAAGAAATGGGAGAGAGGGAGAGGAAGAGGGAGAAATCATACCCGAAATGAATAATATTATTTTAAAATTTCATAACAAATACAGTAGATAACCTATCTACATGCATTATGAATAATTTCTAAGACGCAATAATCACACTACAAGGCAAGGCAAGATAATAAACTCTGTGCTATATTATACAATATCCACTTTTTTATTTAATTGAAAACTTTGAAAATCCAAGGTCCAAAATTCAAAAGAGAAGGAAAGAAAAGCTATGTGCTATGTGTGCTAAACACCTTTAGCAGAAACAGCAAAAAATTAAATAAAGATTTGCCCTTTGAGATCTTTGATTTTGATTATTTTTTTCTTTTATCAAAGTTTCATGATTAATGTGTATACACATACATACACATTTTATATTGTAAAATAAAAATAAAATAAGTCAAAATCAAAATCAAAGTAAAAGTAGAAATCAAATAAAAATCAAAGTTAAAGTCAAAGTCAAAGTCAACCTTGAATACAGCTCATATACACACACATAGAAAGGGAGAGAAAGAAAGAAAGAAAGAAAGAAAGAAAGAGATATTCCGGCTATTTGCATATTTTGTGTATTTGATTATTATTTATATATATACATACATGTTTTATTCACCAGCACACACACACACACATATATATATATTTAAAAATGGAATAAATATTTATTATAATTATTATTTAAATAAATAAACAAAGTATAAGAGATATAGAGAATAAAGGACTCAAAAATATGCTGACTATTAGGATCATTCTTAAAGAAGTAGTACTCAGACAGAGAGACAAACAGACAGAGAGATATTGAGAGAGAGAATATATATTATATACAGTCGAGACTCGAGTAATAAAGGTAGCAAAAACTTTTATCGTAGAGCACCCAGACCAACAAGCCAAGGCTGCGAATAGAGTATTAAGTAAAGGGAGAGAATATATAATGAAACAACATTGTATGAGTGATGAAAGATAGAGAGAGAGAGAGAGATAAAGAAGAGGGTCGCGGGAGAAATATATGAAATAATAATAATAATAATAATAGTAAATAATAATAATAGTAGTAGTAATAGTTAAAAAAGACTAATTACTTTTTTTTTGTTGTTTGCTTTTAGGCAAGGATTTTTAAGCCTTGATTGTGGTGGTCTCAATCTTCTCGTGCTGGACATGACCTTCAAGATCATCCTGGTTCTTGCCAATAATAACACCATCGGAACCGACATAGTTTCTGGCGTTTTCGAGGGCTTCATCACCATCGTTCCATTCACCGCGCTCGACTCTGAGAATGGCATCACGCTTCTCCTTGAAGTGCATGAAGACGAGGGCACCGGCAACAAAGATCCAGTAGAGACAGTACATGATGATGGTACCAATGGTAGCAGTGTTGTTCCAGCCCAAGATAGCGTTGAAGATCTGGTAACCACCGTTCTCACCAGCGTTGTACTCTGGGTCTCCCCAGGAGACGTGCCAGACAGCAGTTGTGACCTTGTAAGCAATGGTGTCACCACCCTCACCACCGATAACCTTGTTCCAGGCGTACTGCTCGAAGTAACCGACGCACTTGGCCATCAGACCGGCAGCGACCAAGTAAAGGATGATAGTAGAGACGACGAAGAACCAACGGAGCTTGAGGAGCGAGCCACCACGGTAGATGATTACACCAACGAGACAACCGCAAATGAGACCCATAATGACAGCAATAGGAATAGACTTTGCCTTTACATCAAGAGCAACCTGAAAAAATAAAAATAAAATATTAATAAAAAATATTCAAATATTTAAAAATACTTAAAAAATACTTACACCACCGATGAAAATAACAGCTTCGAGACCTTCTCTGAGAAGGGTAATGAATGGCAAGAAGAAGAAAGAGTAACGCTGAAGCCACGCACGGGCACCCTTTTTCTTCTGTTCGGCTTCCATGGCAATTGCGAGCTTAACCTTCCACTTTTCCTGCATGCGTTCGGTTCTCAACATGGCCAAGCCCATGGCGGTAATCATAAGTCCAGCAATAAGAGAGAAAACACCTTCCCAAATCTCTTCGGATGAACCCCAGAGATCGTTAAGGACGGTGTACCAGACAGCAATGAAGGCAGCACCAATACATATACAAATAAATAGACCAATAGCACTTCCGATCCAGACTTGGTTGCGAAGTTTCTTGTAGACAGCGGTTCCGGGCTCAAAGACCTTTCTCAAGAATGAGAGCAAGACAGAGACAATGATGGCAGCTTCGGTCGTCTCACGAAAGACGATGAAGAAAATCGGGACATTGAAAAGATCCTCCGACATTTTTCGATATGTTGTTGTTTTAGCAACTAAAAGTTTCTAACTATTTTTTTGTATTCCTTTTTTATATTCTTCCTCTAAATGACTTATGAGAAAAGAATAAGCAAAAAGTATATATTAAATAAGAAAGAAAATAAAAGAAGTTGATAAAGAACAGAAAGTAAAGAGAAAGGAAGAAAGAGTTGCAAGAAGAAGAAAAACTGAAATCGAGAGGAATTAAAGACAGATATTATAAGCACCAGAGAACTTATGGGCAAAATTTTATTTTTTTTTGAAATAAAGACAGGTTTGAACTATAGAAGAGGAGTTCAAATTACTGATATTCTATCCTTCTTCTCGCTATGTCCTCTTTGTATCCTTTGTGGATCGGGAACACCGATGTTGTATCAAAAGGGAAAAACATATCTGTATATTCTATTTTACTGCTAGTATTACTATTTTTTGTTGCGGCTCTATATTCTCACGAATTTTTTTTTTTTTTTTTGAAAAATTGAAATCAAGGTTTTTTTTTTTAACAAAAAAAAACTGTTATCAGATTCAATATTTTTTTAATCAGTAAATTTGATCAAACCACAACTCCGGTTCGTATAACCTGAGTCATCTTTTTGTACCTAAAGGAAAATTAACTGGGTTATTTTCTGTACTGTAGTGTACTGTAGTGTATTGTAGTTTACTGAAATACAATACAATACACATAAAATAAAATAAAAAATATTTGCAAAGTCAATGGGATTAAAGGGACGGCCCTGATATTGTTTGCACAACAGACATTTTTTATTTTACATTACACTATATACATATTTTAGTGTGCAGGCAAACAACCCGGGATTGATATCCAATGAATGAGAAGCTTTCCTTTCCGATATTGGAAACTTTTATATATAAAATATATAAATTACATCTATGTATCCATGTATGTATCTATGTGTAGTATATACGTTCTAGTGTCATTAGTGGCGCCATGTTTTATCAGATGAAGTTTTATTTGGATATTATTATTTTTTGAATCTGTTGCCATAGCATTGTAGTATTATAAAAAAAAATATCCCCGCGACAATAGAATACAAAAAAAAACTGACCTTTGGTCGTTGTTAACTTATTGGTCAGATCAACAAAAAATCTATAGTAATCAGATGAAGATTCTTCCTTTCCCCAATCTATCTATCATCTTCCCCGACCCCGGTTGTTCGGAGTCCCACTTGTCTTATTTTACTGTTGCTGACTCCTTTTTTATTTTTTATAAGAAAATTTTTATTTTATTATATTTTTGTATTAGGAAGGACCACTTGGATCTGATAATTCCACAAAGTCCTTCCATTTCTTTCCCCTCTTACCCTTTGGTTCTATCCCAATAATATAATACAATATATATATATTTAAAAATTCAATTTTTTTTGGTATTTTATATATTTATATTTATATATATATATTTATTCTGTGATTTCTCAAACTAGTTCTCTTCTTCTTGTCTTCTTTCTCTTGTCCATTTCTTTTTCTACCAAAAAAAATATTCAATTGTAGAAAGAGCCATGCGTTTCTTGGGAACTCTTTTGACTGGTCTTGCTGCCACAGCAAGCATTGCACAGGCAGCCCGTGTTGTCTACGACTGGGAAGTCACTTACACAACAGCCAACCCTGATGGTCTCTTTGAGCGTCAAGTTGTTGGTGTCAATGGTGCCTGGCCGTACGTATACATATATAGAGCAGACAGACATACAGACATACAGAATATAGACCGACACAAAGAAAGAATAGACAATTATACAGATATACAGACAGACAATATTTTAAAGAATTTCCAATTTATTTTTTCATCTTAAATCTATTATATCTTATAACAATTATTAATACTAACTATTATTATTATTATAGTCCACCAGCTATCCATGTGTCTTTGAACGACACCTTGGTTATCAATGTTAAGAACAGCTTGGATATCCCCACTGCTCTCCATTCTCACGGAATGTTCCAAAACAACACCGTTTGGATGGACGGACCGGTTGGCGTTACCCAATGGTGAGTTGACATTATCAATATACACCCAAAAGGAGAGAGATATGAACACAGACATATGAACACACACATTTCATGATAAAGCATTTATTCTTTTAAGGTTATCTAACTAACGATCTTTCTTTTTTACTTCAGTTCTATTCCAGCTGGTCACAGTTTGACTTATGAGTTCAATATCACCCAAACTGGTTCTTTTTGGATTCACAGTCATTATATGGTTAGTATACATATACATACATAGTAAAAAAAAAGATCAAGATAAGAAATTTTACCCTTTATATACATATTATAATATATTTACTGACACAATTATAATTTTTAAATTTTCTGTCTATCTCTAATAGGGTCAATATGCTGATGGTCTCCGTGCTCCTCTTATTCTCCACAACCCTGAAGAGCCTTACAAATATGATGAAGATTTGGTTGTTCCTGTTTCTGGTAAGATAAAGAAAAACTATGCGTTGTAACTGTTATAGTCATAACAAGTACAATAACAACAAAACAGAAATAGAGTATTAATTATATTTTTATTTCAATAAAAAAAACACTAGACTGGTATCATGACAACAGCGCCAACAACTTGGCTATCTTCATGAACGTTAACAACCCCACCGGTGCCGAACCCGTCCCTGAATCTGGCTTGATTATGGACACCATTAACCCCAACATCACCTTCGTTCCTGGAAAGACCTACCGTCTCCGTCTCATCAACATGTCTGCCTTCTCCACTTTCTTCATCAGCATCGATGGTCACGATTTGGATATTATTGAAGTCGATGGTGTAAGTTATTTTAACTTTAAAATTAATTATAATCTAAAAATTCCCACACACATACTCACAATATTTATTTCTTTTTTCTTTATAGATCTACACTGAGCGCAAGACCGTTGATAGCATTTACTTGACTGCTGCTCAGCGTATCTCTGTCCTCGTCACTGCCAAGAACTCTACTGAACTCAACTACCTCTTCCACGCCGACATGGACATTGACATGTTCGATATCCTCCCCGAAGATTTGGTCACCAACATCACTGCCAACATTATGTACGATGCCAGTCACTCCAACTTTGCCGAGAGCCAGGATCTTGGTATGGGTAGTGAGTTCGATGACATTGATCTTCCTCCTCTCTACCCCGCCAGCGCTGTTGAGCCCGACCAGCAGGTTAACTTGACCTTCAACTTTGATGTCACCACTGACGGTATCAACCGTGGTATGTTCAACGAGCTCCCTTACTTGACCCCCAAGGTCCCTACCCTCAACACTGTCTTGTCCATGGGCGAGCTTGCCACCGACTTGACTGTCTACGGTCCCCAGTCCCAGGCCATCATCCTTGACCATCTTAACATGGTCGAGATTGTTCTTAACAACCTTGATGCTGGTAACCATCCTTTCCATTTGCACGGTCACGTCTTCCAGGTCGTTGCCCGTGGTGATGGTGTCTTTATGGGCGACCGCTCTACTGTCGAATGGAATAACGAGAACCCCACCACCCGTGATACCGTGCTTGTTCCTGCCGAGAGCTTCACCATCATTCGTTTCCGTGCTGATAACCCCGGTGTATGGATTTTCCATTGTCACATTGAATGGCATTTGGAAACTGGTCTTGCTGTCACCTTTATCGAGGCTCCTACTGTTATGCAGGAGCGCATGACTCTTCCTGAAGCCTTCCACGAAGTCTGCACAGCCGGTGGTAACCCCTCTACTGGTAACGCTGCCGGAAAGGAAGGTCTTGATCTCAAGGGTGCCCCTGGAGGAATCACCTTGATCCCCGATGCCTTCACTGCCAAGGGTAAGGGTGCCATGGCCGCATGTATCATCTCTGCCTTGATTGGTATGGGTGCCATTGTCTTGTACGCTTCCATTGACCCCGAGAAGAAGGCCAAGGATATGATTGCTGCCCAAAAGTAAATTATATATAATTATTTATATATATATCATTTATACAAGTGGTGGAATTTTTTCTTCTTCTATCTCACAAAGAAAAAACAAACTTCTTTAAAATCTACCTTTTATCTATCTATCTATCTACCCTACCTTACCTTAACCTTACCTTAACCTACCTTTATCTATTTATATTCTTTATTATTATTACTCTTAAAAAACAGCCTTGTATGTTGGCTTAACAAACAGCAAAAATCTCTTTACTTGTATACTTTTACTTTACTATCAAGTTATATTTCCTTCCATTAACCTCCAATTCTTTTTATTATTATTATTACTTAATCATTTCTATTATTTTTTTTATTTAAAAAGAATAACACAAGAAAAAAAAGAAAGAATAAGAAAGGGAAAAGAAGTATTTAAATATAATATATATATATGTGTGTGTGAACAAAGGCTTTCCTTTTTATCCTACTATTATCATTATTATTTTGATTTTCTTTTTCCTTTTTTTTTCCTTTCTCTTTTCTTTACATATTCTTTTTATTTATTAATTTATTTATTTTATCATCCCTCCTCCACTGCTCTTTTGCCATAGTTATAATCCATAACCATTATTTGTGAATAAATTGAACTACAAAATAAAATAAAGTAATATATATTATATATGTGTGTGTGTGGGTGTGTAATATATATACATACTTGACTAGAAATTAAAGGCTATGTAGATCTCTTGTAAAAATGAATTATTAGAGTTAATATATTGAGGGAATTAACAATGAGTGGGTGTGTATATTCAAAAGTTATACACATAGAGAACAGCAGAAATAAGAAAATCTATGTATTTTCTTGATGAGTTGCGGTTATTCAATAAATTTTCTTCATATAATAAGGAGTTATAGTCATGATTCTCTCTGTCTCTTTCTCTGTCATTATATTTTATGCTCGTAATACTTTATAGATTATACTGATATAGTAGAATGTAATGTGTAGTAGACTTCTTTAAAGAAAAAAGTATATGTTTTATCATAAAATGGAACAACTGTATATTTGTGTGTGTGTGTGTGTATTCTTTTAGTCTCTTGTAAATAAGAACATGAAAAAAAAAGACTTGTTCTTAGTATTTTCCCTTTGTGTACTCCCCGCCAGATCAGTATCCGCTCTTCTAGGTAGAAGCCTAAGAAAGCCTATCAGTCAATTTCTTTGTCTATTTACACATGCAATATTATTACTATGGTTACTATTATTATTTTAGACCAGGGATTGACCCAGGTAATACAGACCTAAAATAATAATAGCAGTAGAAATAATTTATGCTTTTATATACAAGAAAAAAAGAGTGAATTTTTATGCCAGTATTTCTCTTGATATTGTAGTATGAAGTTTTCATAGTCTACAAATTAATAATGGTAAATGATTAACCAAGCTCATTAAGAAATACATATAATAAATCTATTAACTTTAGACTCGCAAAAATATTTTAAAAAAAAACAAAATAAAAGGAAAATAGATTAATACAATCTGACAGGAACCACAAAAATAATAAGAATATTATTTTTTTTTAACTCTTATTGAGAACTTTTGCTTATCTATGCTTTTTTGTTTGTTTGATAAAGAGATAGCGTCTATAACAAGTACACGGATATTCAATAGCTATATTTATCTCCTTCTACTTCTACTACTTCCATACTACTAACTCTTTTATTTTTATTATTATTATTTTGTTAATATAAATAATGATATAGTAAAAACTATCAAGGTTTTATATATTTAATAGTACATATTACTTGGTTACTCATAAAATATACCCAAAAACAGAATTTTGTGCAAGTTTAAAATAGAGTATATTCTATAATAATAATAATAAGGATAAAACAAAAACAACAACAAAAGATCTCTCTTTGTGTGTGTGTGTGTCAATTAAACCATTTAATTGTGACTGCAGATAAAAAATAAGATCAAGGAGTTCTTTTAAGTCCAAGAATAATCTACACATACATACATATAATATAATATAATATAAATAATATATTATAGAAAAAAAAGTTTGTTTTAACGCAGGAGAAGTATATATTACGTTGGCTTGGGTTTGATGGTGTGGATCAGAGAATTGATGTGGATCTGTCGATATCCAAAGAATTACCATCATTAAGCTTCTTCTCCTGATTGAATTAAACCCCTCTTGATGTATTCCTTTTTTTTCTTTTTACTCTTTATATACATGTACAATGTCTATTTGCCAAAAGAGCTATGACAAGAAAGAGAAAACCAAAGACCAAGTATGGGTTTATATGGTGCCAAACGCCAGATTTTTTTTTAATTCTTCTTCTTCACAAGTAAAATGGAACTTTATCAAACACCCCCCTTGACAACATGGATATTGTTATCTCTCTCTCTCTCTTTTTATCACATACACTATATACGCATATGTATATATATATGTATATGTATACGGATATGTCATTTAACACATAAATTACCATTCATGTTTCTATGTGCATGTTTTTCTTTTATTCGTATTTTTTCTGGCTTTGTTTCTTAATCGAACAAGCGTCTCTTTCTTTCTTCCATTTAACCATTCATTCATTCGTTCAATTTTCTTTTTAATTCTCTCAAATGCACATCTTTACTGTCCAAAATGGATTTGCTACAACATTCTGCAAAAGAAAATCATTTAATTCGCATTGTGGTACAGATCACACCCACATATCTCAAAAAGATGATCATGTACCTGATCAATCCTTAGTTCAGTTGATCAAAAAAGCTATTGATTCTCACGTCAGTTTCTTTTCATCCTGTGCCAACAGAACGTTCAATTGCCTGAGAAAACATAACAGCAACAAAAATCAAAACAATAATAACAGTGGTAATAGCAATAGTAATGATAGAGCCTCTTCGTGTGGAAATAGTATAGCCATGTCTACTCTAGCACCGCACGGATCTGTTTCATCTTACAAAAGCTGTGTATCTACTCAGCTAAAGAGCGAAGCAGAAATCGAACGAATCACCAATCTCTACACAAACCACTCAATGAACTTGGAAACACTCATATTCGATCATCCCACAGTAACCATCAGGCTCTCATTAACACCTACCGCCTGTATAACCTGAATTTAATTACACGTACACATATATATGTACACACATGTACATTCACACACTCATTCATACGTACATACATTGGAGTTAGCTGTCAACAACCACCTTGCATATGCATCTAATTTGGTATTACATTATTTATTAATGAAAGAGCAATAACCAAAAGCATTTCTTTTTATTCTTTTTCCACTATTGCTACTTATAATTGTTATTCTACTTCTTCTTATTCATATTATTCGTAGCATTATCTTTATCCTACTATTTGTGTTTATTCAATTGTACTTTCTGCTTTCTTATATATTTTTTGGAAAACAATTGGTGTGAACAGTCTTTTATTCTTATTTCTTAAAAACAAAACAAAAGGTTTAAAATGAGTTTTGTTATAAATAAAAAACAATTTTTGTCTGTCCATACAGTTTTTGTAAAAAAAAAAAAAAAAGTTCAAAAAAGAAAGAAAGTCTCTTTATCGATTCTTTTAAACAGAATATTGTTATTAATATTACATATATATATATACATATATCTGTATATATAGGAGTGTGTTTGACATAATTCAAGCTATAGACTCAACTATTATCATTATTATTAAAAAGGCTAGGACAATTAGATCTATTTGAACTTTTCTTTTTCTTTGTACGCAGATGGGGTGGTCAGTCCAAAAACGTTAACGTACAATTTTGCTAAAGTGCCTTTTGTTGCAACCCATCAAGTTCAAATAATTAGCTGAGCCATCAAACGTTTTGGAACGACTGCAGTTTTGTTTTATATATATGTATATAGTTATACACCTCTTATCGCCGTGTTCACCTTTTGAAACATATATCGCCTAGACTCCTCGTTCTTACGGTTCAGGTTCTCATAGGCTATACAATGAGTGAAATCAAGGAGGTTCGATTCTTATTGTATAAAAGTTTAGTCTGTATTAGTGAGTGCCTACATAAATGCTGCTGAATAGCACAGGGACATTATTAGTATTATACGCTGGGAGAGTATTTGAGTGTAGGCTCGAATTTTAGAAATTATACTAGAGCAACATATAACTAATCAAGCGGATTTGAAGCCTTCTTGTTTTGATATTATTAAAAGAGCTATTTAACTCATTTTTGAATATGTATACATTTTTAGATCCATAAAGACCCCAATAATAGAAAGTATCATTTCTCAGGTATTACATATATATATATATAACAGAAGAAGAGGAAGAGTAGGTGTATGGTACATTAGTGTTTAATAGCAAACGTTTTATATATGTTTCAATCTTATCAGATTCATTTTAATAGCTCTGTTGGTTAACGTCCGGTAAATATGGATTAAAAGAAAAAGAATGCAGTACGATAAACTTGAAGGTAAATAAAACGGAGGTTTACAAAAACATGGTGTTATTTTCTTGTACTTATTGATATTACCAAGCAGCCAAATTTGTGGATCTTAGAAAGTGGTGAAGATGAACGAGATAATAAGGAGGTATAAACCCGCCAAAAATTCCAGGGAAAAGAGTAGAAGGAAAATAAAGAAGCCCAGAAAGTTAGCAAGTTATTTAAGCTATATTCACTACAGTGTTCGTCTTGATTCGCACCATAATATAAGATAGGAAGACATTGGTCAGCACTACATCAGGTCTAAGAGATGGGAAGCCATAAATGCTTTTCTTTGGCAAACCTGACAGCTTTATTGAAATACACACACATACATATAGGTGTTTTTTTATTATTATTACAATCTTCACAATTATGAGACTTCCAAAGCAATTAGTTACTAGTTCAATACAATTCGTGTCTGGGAGACTGAACCTAACAACATCCTTGAAATACTTTGAGTAAGACATTAATAAGGGTAGTGTCATGCAACAATAGATGCATCTATCTAATCTCCCATCCCCATCTCTACTCCCACCCATTCGACAGCACATGGGGTCAGCAAGGATGCCACGCTCATTATAAGATGCTCTATAAAGCGTTATTTTTTATTTTCTGCATCAGTAATAAACGCGAAATAGCTTGAATTCAAGTTGATTGGGCAAATGTGGTGACAATGGGGACGCTGCGTTTGTTAGGGTTATTTATGGTTATTTTGGTTTGTGGCAGTGTCATATACTGATTAAAGGGAGTTTGACAACTTTGCAAAAATAAAAAAATAAAATAAAAGTAGTATTAAGTAGTGTCAAAACTAAAAAAAAAATATGCTCCGTAGAGCGTTCCATCTCAGAAGTTTAGTGTCATCCTTGTGCAGGGGCCATGCTAATCTTCTCTGTATCGTTCCAATTTTAATATGTGACAGAGGTGCAAGCACTTGTCGACCAAAATAAATGTCCCAAAACCCTATATATATGCATTTATTTTCCGCTTTACAAAAGTTGTGGGTTTCTAATATTCTCATAATTTTTTTGTATTATAAAAGTTTTATACACATTAAAATTAAATAGCTCAACCCAGTATAATACAACTCACAAAACTATGTTAGCACAGAATATTTGTATCAAAATAAGACACGGTCTTTTCTTTTATATAAGCACACCATCCTTCACTTATAAAGACCTTATATTTGGCCATACAAGCACCTCACTTACCTTACTTAAAACAAGCAATGAACCAACTTCGTACTTTACAGCACTAACACAAGCTGTCCCAACCTTTTATCGACAACTTTGCTCCTCATCAATACACTATATACTTGCATATCATAATCTTGTCTTATGCTGCAATCTCTTTTCTGTCCCCTATATAAATCCGACTTCATCTGATAATTGCCTGGTAGTGGATACTTTTAAGCTCATGCCCAACCACGAAACAGGAAAGAGGCTGAGGCTGAGGCGCCCCAACCCTCAACTTGCCCGAAATCCAATATTCCGTAATAAACTCTAAAATTACATTTATACAATTGTCTTTTTTTCCTCTCCATACATGTACCCAACAAGACTGATGTGATAAACCTAACCACAGACTAACTACCTTCACCATGTCTTTTACTAGGTGCGGAATCCAGATACTCGCCACATTAGAGGATAGACTTCAAAGTAAATGCAACACGCTGATCCACAAGGTTATACATCAACTAGCCCATTTTTTTATTTCATTATCCTTAAAAAGTAGTTCCAATAAGTCCAGTTGGAGGGAGTACAAACCCTTGCCCTCCGTGCTGACAAACACCGGCAGGCGAATGGAGAGATTTCAGCAGATTACCACAAATGTACAGTTTCTGAACGACAGTCTTGAAATAATACTACTCATATTTACTATTACTCTACAAACCATTTGTACACTGATTCTGATGGAATGACCGGGGCAGCCACTGCATTATGTGAAGCTCCGTATACGCCTAAACAAATAGACCAGATACCCATAGACGATTTATTTCACAACCTACCCCAAGATATTTGCCTCTCAAATACCAGGCGTTCCTCACTGGAAGTCATATCTTCTGTTGACAGCATACGAGGAGTGCCTCGGTATCCAAGAAAAGACACCCCAAGATTATAAAGACTCCCTTATGATACTCTTCAACTTGTATCTACTTATCCTTCTCGTACCCAGCTGCTGACCAAAGTGTACAACGAAGCTCTCAGTGATGGCCAATTCCTATAATCCTGGAAAACCCTTTGCGTGTTCCTGCTACCAAAGAAGGGCAATATTTTCTCTTTGAAGATTTTTGGACTAATTATCCAGATCAACGCTGAAACCAAGGTCTTCACTAGTCTTCTTAACGCCCGCGTGGCCAGAGGCGCTAGATCCATTGTATCTCCGTACCAAACCGGACTCTTTTGCGATAATTTTCTTGCTAACAGTGGTATAATCACAAAGCTGGTTATGAGCCATATAAATTCCACCGGTCATTCCGGAGTCAGGTCTTAGATTGGATTAGGAAAAAGGTTATTATCGGGTTTATCCTGAGCATTTCAAGAAAATTCTAACCCAATTCAGTTTTCTTTCTTCCATTATAACCTGTGCTTCTAATTTTCTTCTCTTCCAACCTTAAGACTACTGTCAATGGCTTCCTCTCTTTTCCTCTTTGCCAAGTGTGTGAATTCAGAGAGGCTGACCTAATGTATCCTGCTTTGCTTAACCAGGACTTCGGTCCACTTTTGCGCCAACATATTCACGATCCATACTTTCCTGTATTTGACATACAAGGTACTTTTGGCCAACCCTCTTCTTCTCCAATAAAGCTACTCGCATATGGTGATGATCTTTTGGTTTCTTACTCGAAGACCCAATATGTGTCCTGATTACAGCACCACCTCGCCACTTACGCCTCTGCTTCAAATGCACGTATCAATCTTCACAAGACTTAAGTATTTTCTCTGTTGGGTTGTCCTCACAGTCACCGGATGAGCACCATTTACAGCTTGCAGACTGATGGCTAGCAAGATAGTCGCTCTTCTGGATCCCTTTGCTACCTTAACTCCTGTCATTTCCTTTCTCACTTAAGGCAGCTTCTTCTGGTCTGGTGATGCTTTGTAAGATACACATTTTTCATCATTATCTGTCTGATATCCAACCTCTTCTTCATATCATTTTACCAACTTCCAAAAAAGTCAATTTCGTTCATACACCAATCTTTTCTTTATCATCTTTGCTGCGTATGATATCCATCCTTCTAGGTTTGACTTTATTGTGGTAACTCTGGTGACTTGCATGGATATTCTTCTGGGCTCTGTATATTTTACACCATATGGCTTCCCTTGCTTTTCTTTCTTTTTGGCATCACCCACGGATTCGGGATATCTACAAAATTTACACAATTTTGGACGTTCTTTTTCAATCTTCACCTTTCTCCCTCACTAGTTCACCACGCATTCTTTGCAGAATATTTCAGAGTATATATGGCTACTCACTCTCATTTCAAACCTTCATATCTCGTGTTTGGCTACCTCAAAGGATCTTGACTGCACAATTTGCTGACCTGATGATACGCAGTGGCTCTGGAATTTATCCTTCTGCACTTTTGTTCTCCCATATGCACCTTACAATATCTGGCTAAGGTCAATTCATCGCAAGGTTTCTTGATGCTCAGTTTTCTATGCTGTGTTTTTACTCCATTCTTACCTCCTACTTGGTCTTTCTTTGAAAATGAAGACTTTTTTTTAGATAAAGCTATCTCTCTTTGTATATTTCTTCAAGCTTCCCCTCTGGCAGACATTCGAGCACACCCATTCTGGAGTCTTCTCTCCAACCTCTGATAGCTTTAATATGCTGTACAAGTTTACCTCCCCACCTCGCCTTGAGCCCACTCTAGAGCCCGCTTTTATACTTAGCTAGGTTCTTTTCGCTTCGTGGAAACACCACTGGGATTTTGTATCTGATCGAGCTCCTTTATGTTGCTACCAATGTCATCACTAGAGATATTTTTCTGCGTCACTGCTTACACGCCAAAGACAATCTCAATCAACACTCATTCGCAGTCTAGATATCTAGAAATTTAATATTTTATACTTTCCGAAAACATAAAATCCAAAAAAAAGCTAGATAATAAGAAAGCCAAAAAAGAAAGTTTTGACACCTTTTAAATCTTTTGAATAAGAGTCCCACTTACCAACTAACTAAAGCTCTGCTACATATAAGCAAAAAAAAACTACTATTTCTTTTTCTTTGACTAACAAGGAAAATTATATACCTCTATGCTGGAATAATTAAGATCATCAACCTTAGAGATTATCTGCCCTTCAATAGTTAAGTAGTGGGCTGGAGTTGGCTGTATTAAGTATTGTTAATCTTGAATGTGATCAATTGTGACATTTAATTATTGTTGCTATTCTTGTTTGTAGGGCATCCACTACACGGTGTTTGGGCGTTTGTTTTTATACACTTATTAGTTAATACCTAGCGTTATTTTTCTTAAAAAGAAAAGAATTGAGTTTGCTGAATTCGTTTCAATTTTTGAAACAGCCATCTCCTCGTATGCTTCAGAAACAACGTCAACTACATTAAAAGCGTTTTAATCTTGTAAAATCACATGCAACAGCATTCGATATCCAAAAATATTATTAGTTGGAGGACTAATGTACGTAGATTGAGTTTTTTGTTTTCAATCTTCATACAAAGTCTTTTAATGTGAATTAGATTAGACAACTATTACGCGTAATTATATTGCAATGTGTAAGATTAAAAGAGGGCCATTCAGTTCTAAAATCAGTCTACTTTGTGTAATGGCACAAATATTCAAAGAACGGGTGTTTTTAGGCGGTACTTATAATCAAGTTCTTTCTACATTTGACTTCTTGTAATTACCGTGTCAAACTTATTCATTACTCATTTTTCATTTTTCATCAACTTAAATGCACAATAAAAGACAGATGTTTTTTGGAGACATGGTTTTAAATAGTTTTTATTTGAAAAAAGATTTGATTTATTAACTTATTAACTTATTGCTACTATTACTATCTACTTTATTTTTCTATACATATAAAAAGGATACAAAGGGTTGTCAAGCTCTTAGTCCCCACACAAGGTGGCTCAATCTCCCCCAGGACGAAAACCTGGCTTGACGGCGAGGGAGGCGGACAGCAGAGTATTATCTCAGACTGAACTCATCACGCTTTTACAAGCGGCACAACTACAGAGGGGGCCAAGGACTACACGGCATGAAGCACATGTAACACATCTTTACCCGCGCTTCACAGCAATGGCGTCCCGTCCATGACCCATGTCTGATGGCGCCACTTTGGGGCAAAGTACCGGCTGTCGTCACTGTTCTGTGGTCATCGGTTTTCATAACTACATTCATAGCTAGAAATTCCTAATCGACAGCCGCATTAAAGAAAGAAAGGGAAAAAACGAAAGCCAGAAAAAAGGGTACTTTTATCTTTTTTTCTTTACCACTCAAAAGAAAAAAAATAGATGGCACTATCCCAAAAAAGGGAGATCTCATATGATTCCTAAAAGATTTTCATGCATAATCAGTTCATCAATCGACAGCCTAACATAACAACAGAAAGCCATCTTTGTAATTTGCAGGGAGTATCCTATCCGTCACTAAGTTATATACACTATACCGTTTGTAGCATAAAACAAAAGAGGTTATGTTTGATGCTAATGCTGATAGTAATTTTAATTGATTTTCTGGATAGTGTCAGGGAGCAAAAAGAAAAAAAAAGAAAAACGTAATAGATATTTTCATAAAGAAACACAATTCACACAGCTACTTAACTTTAGTTTATACTTTTCTACAAAGTATTTTTATGTTGAGAGATTAAAACAAACCAATATAGTTTAACACATAGATTTAAAAAATACAAACATTTGAAGACTATGTGAGAGTAGACAAAGGCCAAATACTTGAAATGTACAAAGAATATAGACATATGCCCATAGATTCTTATAGGCTGTAAATAGTCAATAAAATTGAAAAAGATGCCTTTTTTTCTGATCATACTGCTATACAATATTGTAGGTAAGTTAAGCTTAGTTACTGAATGTCTATGGTCAAGTAGACTTGTGATAGTATCAGTCATCAGTATAAGCTGCAAGAAAAGTATATAAAAGAAAGGACAAGATACTAAAGAAATATAAAGTATGAAGAGTTAGAAAAGCAATGTTAAGATAAATAGAGAGAGAAAAACAAAGCAGTGAGAAAGCTTATTTTACCAATTAATATTATAGAGATTTTTGCTGGGATGCTAGATAACAGGTCATTTATCTCTTCGAGTTACTGTATATAAAGAAGTAGACAGCTCAAAATTAATAGTTAATGAAAATTTTAAAGTATTCAAAACCCTATTTAGCTGTATCATCAACAAGATTAGTGTGTGCTTATATGCTTCTAATGTAGCCGGGAAGAATATAAGTAGGTTAGCTTAATGGCATTTATAAAGAGCTTATGGTCTATAGATTAAAACTTCTGTTAAATCCTTCCTACAGATATAGATAACTTCAATATTCAGGAAACAAAAATAATTGATAGACATATTTAGCAAGCCCCCAAAGTCATCTTCTCATATGTTTAGTAGCAACCAAGTAATTTGACACCACCAAGTCCACAAAAGTTACAAACAGCTTATCAAGATTGACTTATTTTATTATACTTTGAGGGCATTGATGATATTATTAATATTGGGTGTGGTCGGGTCAAGTATAAATTTTTTTTTTTTGTATTGTTTATTAAAGAAATTTCATAGTCATGTGCTATCTATCTAAAAGAGTGAGTCTTCTAATTCTATTTTTCTAATGTTTAAGGTAGCGATGGCAGCTATTCGGTTAGTGACAAAAGGAACATCATGGAAGATATGTTGGAAGTGAGCGTCCCAAATGGCCCCTATTGTGCATTCCAGAATACTATAGGCGGACAGGGTCAAGTATAAAGAAGAAAGTAAAACTATTATCTCGTGAGACCGAGCTGGATCCACCTCGCTCTATTCAACAAAGCCGCTATTGACATTAATGGTTTTGTTGTATATATTTCTTTAGTTATATATTCCGCTGTACCAGCTTTTTATGTTCTATAGCTTCAAGACCCAAAGTTATTGAACTTACACGATAACAAAATTATTGCATCATGTTTTTGTATTTTATGAGCTAGACTTTTTATTCAAATACTGTAGTAAGTTTGGTGACTTGTATGAATACTCCTCTGGTGTTGACCTATCTCGCTTCACATGACTTATCTCCTTTTCCCTATTGGAATTACATCTGAATACTAGATCTCTAAAATATTGACATAGCTTTATATCCTTTGTTTCAATTTTTACCTTCTCTCCTTAGTTCACTACATATTTCTCTCAAAATACTTCAATTTGTGGATAGTCTCTCTATTTCCTTTCATGCCTTTGTGACTCATTCTTGGCTATCTCAAAGGAGCTCGGCTGTTCCATTGCCTGCCACGATGATGTGCAGTAGCTCTGAAGCTGGCCCATCTACACTTTTGTCTGTTATATCCCATAACTTTTATTGTAAGTACCTATATACATTTCAATACCATTTCTCCTGCAAGACTGTCATTTCCTCTACTAATATTTTACAGTTAATACATGCCATCTAATTTCGTAAATTCTGGTCTTTTATTCTTTTATGTGCTACTTGTAACATCTGGTTACTGTTATTTAATTGCAAGATTTCTTGTGGATCAGTTTTTTATTCTCATGTCCTCTCTAAATTTTTACCTTCCACTTGCACTTTCTTTGAAACTGAAGGTGCTTTTTAAGCCTATCTTCTTATATACGCACTAAAGTTTCTCTCCCTTTGATAAGCATTCTTGCACACAAATTTTGATCTTTAATCTCATATTTTCAATGTCCGTAGCACACTTTATAGTATGATCTTCCCGCCTCTTCTTGATCCTACCTTGCAGCCTGCTTCCATCCTTGGCTCTGCTTTTTAGCATTGCGATAACACCATTAAACTTTTGTATTTGATTAATTATCTTTTTTTTTTATCACAAATGCTACCACCAGATCCGATTCTCTATTATTCTGTCTGCAAGTTAAAGAGAATTTTGATCAATGCTCATTTCATATATATATATATATATATATATTACAATCATACATTTTTTCTATTTTATACTTTACGAAAGCACAAAAACCTAAAGACATTTAGATTATAAAAAAAAGACAATTTGTGGCTTCTCTTATATATTTTTGAGCCATAGTATTACCAATAAATCAGAGTTTTGCTCTATACAAGCAAAAAGTATCTAAATGAAAATTTTCTATCTACATTTAGATTTGCCACAAAAATAAATAGCTGCTATACCATAAATCTCAAATACTTACAAGACTATTATATTAACTAATATCTTTCTTCTTTTGGTAAATACGTCTTATATAATGAGTAAATTTTCAATATGACTTGAATGAAATTTATATTTTGTAAAGTAATGAAAGTATATATTTGTGTCATTTCTTAAGCTGTATCTAACTTAATTATTACTATTACTATTGCTATTGAAGCGGACAGTGTTGATTTATGTGATACAGTGCCCCAAGTGGGTATAAGAAGAAGAAAAATGAATATAAATTAATATGTTATAACAGATTTTTAGCCAAAATAGTAGCAATTGACAGACTGTTCTCTTGAGAAGGATGAAAATAATTGAAAAGTGATATGTAAGGATGGTTTTTATTACTTTTATCTTTCGATCTTTATATAAATATCTGGATAATTAATAAAACAATATAATTAGTAAGATTTTACGAAGATATTGAGATAAACTACGCTTCTTTGGATAACTAATAATGGATTAGAGAAAGAAGGATATATAAAGACTGATGAGACTCATTGGTAAAAGTCTTATGGGTTTCGATTGAATGCTGTATCAGCTGTAACAATCAATCTATTTCCAAGGTTATGACTTAATAAATCTGCTTACATAATTGATACAAGAAATATTTTGGAACATAAAATATGCTTGAACTAGCTGGAAGTTTGAGCGCACATGCAAGGAGGTAATAAAAATGAAGCCTTCTCTATTTATGTTATATATCAATGATAACAATAATGGGGGGGGGGGTCCATCTATTAAGAAGATAATGGTCTCTATCACAAGTTTGATATTGAATAATATTACATTAAATACCAGAATTTTATGGTGATATTAAAGCCGTCCAACAGCCCAGATTTCAGCTTCATAAATAACTTATAGGGATATCTCAGCAGGAGATTTTTTTTTTAAAAAAAAGTCCCATCTTCAAAAACTTTTAAAGAATTCGCAGTGACTACTCATGTAAAATGAAACAATACTCGGGTTGGTTTGTAATATTAAGTGCCCGTCAATTCTTAGTTATACGACAAATCTTAATTGTATAGCAATGTTTAATTGGATACAAGAAATAAAAAGAGTTCATAGAGGGTTATCACGCATTTGTTTTTCTTTTATTTTCTAGAAACTATACCTTTGTATTTATATGCTTTCAGACATGAGTTGTTAAGGGAAAGAAGATCATTTAACCAAAGAAGGCTAAAGAATATGTACTAGTGATTTATCAGAACTTAATAATTATGATGACCATTGTTGGTACAAGTCTATATATACATACCTTGATTGTAAAAAAAAATCACCTATTTCAATATTGAATATTGTATTAAAATATTCATTCATACATTTTTAAAGTGTATCCGATATATCCCAAAAGTAAAAATAAAGATTTTTCTCAAGACCTGCGCTTGAAGGCCGATTCACTCAAGTTTACACCCAAGCTTCTCAACAACCCTCATTCCTGCCCACTTGACATGGCATCAAATTTACCATGACGGCAAAGTATCGGTGAAATGGTTTGATGCCAAACTGTTCAAGATAGATGTCTGAGACACCCAAGTGGGACAACATAGCATTTACTTAGACACCTTAACTTTGCTTCGGGTTCTTCC